TTAACACATTCAGTATGTGGGTGTACTTGGGGACGAAACACACTTTCTGGAAGTTTTCAAAACATTATAGCAACATGTGTAGTCTAGTTACATATGTGTCACACGTGTTGTAGAAGTATTGGAATATGCACATTGTTTGTCAGATATGGATATGGTGAAGCATACAGAGTGTCAGGGTTTAATCAGACACATACAACAAGACACTTCATCCTTCTAAGTAACAGCAGCCTTTGTTCCCATGACCTCAAATAAAGAGCATTTTCTGTAACCAACAATACTCAAAAGACATGAAAAACAATGTCACATGGCTCCAGTGGTTAGCACAGAGAAAGAGGAGAAAACTTTAGATTTAACAAAGGGATTGAACGTAAGCTACCGGACCAACCAAGGAGTTTAAATGCTGGTGTGTGTTCCGTGTTATATCCTAGTTTTATAGCTGTCAGAATCATCTTATTCAACACAGTCTGACATTATTAAATCCACACCAGCTTGTTGAGTTAAATATTTAAACCCAAGATCCCGTTGATTTTCTGACTCTAGAGCTCAATCAAATGGAAACATTTGTCCTTCATTTTTTAACAAATTAGCCCCAAATGTGTTCCAGGTCATTTGGTATCTCTGGTACTTTTTGGATCTCTAGATGAATCTCAGGTCATGTTCTGTGGGGGTGAGTGTGTCGTGACTGACCCATCAGTGCATTGGGGGAGGGGGGAGGGTCAAAGATGTTAAAGAAAAGCTGAGATGTCCTTATACTAAGAAGAACCACAGCCTCATTCATAGCAGCAAATGCTCCAGACAGATGCTATATGTTCAGATGATAGCTCCCTCTAGTGGCCATATGAAATATGACTATTATCTATCAGGGAGTGGTGTGATGTTGTGAGATTGTGGAAGGTTATTGATCTATATCTTCCTCATGGACAGAACAACAAAACACTGCACTTTACCACAATAGACTGCTACTCACTTCCTGTTTACTACCAACAAACAATGTTATTTTCTTTCATCTGTAACATTAACCAAATGTTTATTATTGTAGCCATGAAGACAATAACCCCTAACCTTAACAAAATAGTTATTTCAACCCAAAACTCAATCTTTTCTGTTACATCAGAAAACTTTTAATTGTAATGATCCTGAGATGAACAAACAGACAGTCTTGTCCTGCAGATAGAAGAATCAGATCAGTGCTGACACTGGTTGTCATTTCTGTAATAGTGGAATTTGAAATGTGTTATTTGGTATTTACCAGGCAGAGAAGGTTTAATGAAGGATGCTGTGAGCTTGTATTATGAACCACTGGCCCATCGAGCGTTTTTGGAGCCTGACATGACCGTGACATGACCGTGACATGATCCTGACGACTACCTGATCCTCAGGAAAGGGGGTTCAGTGTGTACTAATGCGCGGTAGGCTACTCAGAGAAAAAGAATGGAAGCAACAGCAGAGTAAATATCAGAACATTCTGTTTCTTAAACAACCATTTAAACCTTCCTTTGTTTATATATAAACTTAAACAGTGGTCTAAACATTTCACCATCCAACACACCCAGAAATGCTCCAGCATAACATGTACTCAAATTTTCTGCTTGTGCCGCATCACTGTTTTACCATTTTGTATTTAATCTGTCTCTTGTTTATGCACCATGTTAATATGTGTGTATGTATACTAAATTGTAGGAGCAGCACTTTAAGAAATCATCAGCAGGGGGCTTTCATTCTACCACTCTTGACATTGTTTTAACACTTTAATACTTCACAACTCTATCTAATTTTGAGAACTGCAGATGATTTTGAAGTAGTGACAAGTCTGCTAGAGAAAATTATAAATTACTCTAAATGTAAAATTATATAATATATAAAATAATAACAAATAAAAAAATCATATAAAATGATTTATAGACTCCAGCTGTAAAGCATGGTTAAATGCATGGTTATGCTCCATACTTTCACACAGCACTACTGCTTCCACATTCCAAACACATCTATTTGAAATTCTAATAGTGGAGTATCAGTATCAGTTTGCTGATAGGCGTGCCGGACCCTGGGTCGTCCTGGGACCTTGCTCTCCTCTGGCTGTCGGTGCTCCATTTAGATGACCTCCAGGAGCAGCAGCCTCTGCCCCGTTTCTCTCTCTCTGTTCACGATGTCCTCTCTCTGCTTCGTCTGGTCCTTTCTCCTGTGTGTGTGAGTGGTGTGCCGTCCTCCTTGACTTGGTTCGATGCCCTCTCGCAGTTATGTGTGTAAATTAAAAAAGAAGATTCTATATCTAGACGCCCCCGGTGTGCATTGGAGTCTTATATTTTTGGTCCCTCCCTCATCATTTTTACAGTCTATAATTTTGCTATTGTGATTTTCCATACTGTAAATCTATTATGCTTTGTTCTGTACACACCTCTGTTGCATGCTGAAGAGGGCTCCCTCCTCATTTGCACTACCTGAGGTTTCTTCTGTTTATTTTCCCGTTAAAGGTTTTTGGGGGGAGTTTTCCCTTGTCTGATTTGAGAGTGTCGTATGCTGGACACATTGTAAAGTCCTTTGAGGCAAATGTGTGATTTATGATATTGGGCTACATAACTAAAAACTGATTGGGTTTGACTAGATAATATATTGTATGTTCATGCACAGTCAGTACATACATGAAATAAAACTTGCTTGAAGCATTGCAGTGTTTTATGGCCATCTTCATATTTCCAGCCTTTGATATGTGCAAATCCAGTTTGTGGAAAGGCAAAGAAAGAAAGGCACTTCAGTACTTTTGAATGTGTTGCATTTTAAGGTTAAGAGAAAGAGGGAAATATTTGATGAAAACATTTTTAAAAAATGCAATTATAATGATTATTTTTTTACATGCATGCATTAACTAATGAAGAATGAAATCCAATGATTAGTGCTACATTTCTCAGGAAATGATTCACATGAAACCAGAGTTCACCAGTAACTTTACTCTAGTCAAACAAATTCTGAGCTACTTGTCCTTTACTTCTCATTCCATTTCAGGGTACTTCATACTTGTATTACATTAAATTACAGCTGTACGTTTTACTCCACAACATTCAGATGATAACTGTAGTTTCTTTGCTGACAATAATAAAAAATATAACAACAAATAAATCATGATGCATTATTATGAGTTAAGATAGGACTTTACTGAACGAGCAGCCTAGCAGTATTTAAAGTCATCAAAAATAGCTTCAGTAGCTGCAGCATTAAGGTGATGTACACGTTAATACATCAATGATCATGAACAAATTATATTGTGAACGTCATTCTGCACCAGTACTTTTATTTTTTTAAATTTTTTTGCAAATTTAGTGTACATTTCAGTGCTATTACTATCATACCTGCATTTAAAATGTTTGAATAACTTGCACCTACTCCAACAGAGTGTGGTTTTATTACTTCTACTTAAGTAAAAGATCCCAGAATTCTTCTTAGACCATCCCACGGAGCATCGTTAAAAACGGAGGAGCGGTGTTGAGCTCTGTAGAAATAAAAAAAAAAGTCATTTATGATTCTAAAACCCTGCCACTAGCTCCTGAATGACTCTGGGTGTGATTCCTTTATAGCACCAGTGTGTTTTTATAATGATAAATTTCCTCCATGTAACAGTGACTCCACCCTACCTGGCGTCCCTGTGTCTCCGTCCTCAGCCTGTCCTCTTTATCATCATCTGGCCGCTGGATTAACAATCAACGCAGATTATAGCCATAATAAGATCCAAAACACAGGTTCAAGGGTCAGCGTCTTCTCTGGAGGCACAGCCTACACTTAAAGCGTTTTGATTGAAACTGTACTGCTATTATGCTCTAAAAAGCTCGATTAATATGCCCTGTCCTTTCCTAACTGGTTATTATTGAAATGCCTGATCAAATAGACACACACACATATATATATTATATATTTTAACCACGGCCAATCTTTGTATTACAAAAGTTTTAAAAGTCCTATATATTCCAGAGATTTTAACAATGGAAAGGAATTGAACAGGAAATGTTTTAAGAATAAATGACTTCTGCAAAGTTATGAAACACTTTAAATCTTCATTTATACATTTAAAAAAGACTCGGATTAATAGGAAAAATGGCCTTTTACTTTTAAACTTCAGATTGAAAATGAATACATATCGCATATGATAA